TTTGTTCATTTGTAAGATAAAAAAAAAGTCATTTTAGATGGCATCGGGTAATAAACAGGCAAGGAGCAGTATGACAAGTTATGAAGTGGCAAGCAGACAGGGATCCATATGGCTAGTTGACGGGGCGACAAGCAGACAAGAAGGGGTATGATGCATGCAACCAAGGGAGCAAGGGGGTCAACGAATAATCACACGTCTGCATATGGCAGGCAGAGCAGGGGTCGGCAAATAAGCATTTTCGACCGGTCGGCGAACAAATAATTTGCTGCAATATTCATTTAAAATACTTAGTGCATTTCTCGAAGATGAAGGCATCCTCTTCAAAAGAAACAGGCGCCGTGTGAACACACAAAAGATATTAGTTAGACCATAAGCTTGATTCTCATGCCTAACAAGCTATAAAGCTATATGGATTTCCTGTGGGGACTGACTTGCACGATCAACGTGGGAAATGGAGTTCCTGATGGGTAGTCGAGTAAATTCTCCCATCTTTGACAGGTAAGATAAGAATTCGGGTATCTTGTCCAAAGATATCAGCGGATTAATTTTGTCGACTTCCGCATAGGAGCATAGGATGCTTGCTCTACAGATCTCCTTTCTTCCTTCAAGCTATCTGGACACATATACGTAGTTAATTCGTATGCTTTTTTTTTTTTTTTTTTTTCTAATTGGCAGTATCGTGAAAAGTACATGTAGTTCAGCCAAGATATGTCTAAAAGAACTAAAGCCGAGTAGAATGAAAGATAGACTAGACTATAACAGATGGGCGTCAAGTTACGCTCATTACCAGAAGAGGTCCCATATCTATTCATAGGGGTAATTGCTTTGACACAAACAATAGCCTACGTCTGGACATACACCTCATGCGCGCATTTTTTGAATTGCCATGCTTATTATTTTCTAGGATTTATCTAGTCTTGTTTTTACTGATGAATGGTCAAAAGGAATATAACTTTTTTGTTATTCCAAGTGCATATTAGATTATTATCCGTAGAAAGAAAGAAAAAAACTAGTACTCGTCCATGACGGTAACGATGATGATGATGATGATGATGGATGGAGGTCAGATAACTAACTAAATGAAGACGCATCACGCATAGACATAAACAAATACCAGGTGGACAAACGTGGGGATATCTCTTCTGGGAAGATGATGTATCATGGTATTTTGAAGACATTGACTCTGGCAAAAGAAAATCGAATACAAGGGGGAAAAAATGAATTCATTATTCAAAGAGGCACCTTGATACGATCCTCATTCTCGGGAACTAATTGTGGATTCCTGCCAGCGGAGTGGGCGCCAGCGTATTCACTCTCAACCTTTGCGTTCCTATCGTACAAATGCCCATCACCAGGAACAGGAACAGGGACTGCCGACTGTTGAGGCGTGCGAGGAGACGAATAGCCGCCCGTCGTGGTCGAGGGTGGAGGCTGTGGATATGATTTGGGGGAAGCGGTGGCATGGGTCATTGAGGGTGATCCTGTTCCCTGGCCGCCGTTATGAAGGGGAATTGGGGGTCCAAATTGGTTCTGGTATGCCTGCTGCTGTTCAGGGTAATATCCTTGTTGCTGGTCTGCATAGTATCCCTGAGCCTGTTGCTGACGTTGCGCATAATATGGGTCATACTGATCGTACTGGTCTTGGTATCCGCCATAGGGCACCTGCTGATAACCCTGCTGATAGTCGTATCCCTCGTTGTGGAGCTGGTTTGCGGCGACGGCTCCTCCTCCCACAGCAGCCATCTCTAATGGACGGGTTCCGCCAGAGGTGGAGGGACGGCCAGTATTCTGAGCGGAAGTCGGATGCTGAGATGAAGCAGCAGCGGCAGCGGCACCAGCACCAGCGCCGGCACCACCGAGAGCAGTGGTAGTACCGGTCCCGGTGTGATCTTCCAAGAACTCTAGACGTCTCTTGCGTGCTCTGCTCTTCTTCTTGTACCGCATCACGAACACCCCAACAATGAAGGCGAGAACAAGCACAGCAGCAATGCTTCCAATCACAGGTGCGAGAACGGAGGGCTTGCTGCTTTTGTCGCCGCCGCTGTTATCTCCGCCATTTTCTGGGGTAGTAGTGGGTGCAGGGCCGCTGGAGGTAGTGCTAGCTCCAGTCCCTTTTCTTGTAGTGGTAGGTTTCCCTCCGCCGCCTTTTGATGTCGTCGTAGGCTGGGCTGGGTCGGGCGAGATGGGGTATGGGTTCGACGTGGGGGAGGGAAGGCCAGTTGTGGTAGGTACAACAGAGGGAATGGTAGCGGTTGGAACCGGCACCGCCGTAGTTGTTGTTGGTTGGGCGGTAGGGATAGGCGAGAGCGTTGTAGGTACGGCAGAAGTGTTGGACGTTGGGACCGCCATGATGGATAGATGATTATCAAAGACAGGCCGGAGGTGTTGGAGGAAGCGAGTGAGATGGAGAAGGAAAAGGAAAAGGAAGGAGGGAGATCAGTCGAATCGGCTGTTTTGGGTTGAATGAGGAAATGGAGAGCTAGAAGAGAAGGCCGACCAAGAATAGAACGGGTTGGTTGTTGTTGTAGCAGGGTGCTACAAAGGGTAGGATGGATCGAGTGTGATGTCAACTGGGAGGGGACGGAAGGAAGAGAACCTGAGGTTGGGGCAGCAACTGCAGTCGGTAACACGGGTACCGTTGCTTAAGAAGAGGGACGAGGGTGTGAGGAATGAACAAACAACAGCAAGAAAGTGGAAGAGGAAAGGCGATAAGTAAGAAGGGCGGGGTTTCATCCACATGCCTCGCGGGGCTACTTGGCCCCCGGTCCAGAGCTAGCTCTGCTCATCTCATGGAGTAGAGTTCGTGATATATTTATCCCAGAAATGAAATTGCTTCCGCCTACCCTCAACCTACCCTCAATTGTCCTTCTGCAATATGGAAGATCTTTTTCATTTAGGCCCTGTCTGGGTCACCGGTCGGGGCAAGGACGGGGAAGGACGAATAAAAGGACCATAGGTTGAACCCATTCCTCTTACGAAAGAAGATAACCAAACAACCTGTCCCCCTACCCTTGAACCGCTTGCAACTAGTCTCTCATCGCCCTCCTTTCCCCCGTCTCTCGATAGTATCGTTGCTTGGAATAAAGCGTCGGAACTCAGCTCGTTCTTTAACGCCCCTCATGCTCTTAATAATTCCCTCCGCCCCTTCTTACTTGCCTGGTCTTGATATCTACCGCTCTTGCCATGTATATCATGCAGTGCAATAAATCAAAAGAGAGAAGAGGAATAGAACACAGGGACCTGCATTCACATTGATATTCTTCACCGCCATGACCCTGAACAATCCCCTGGAGTAAAAAAACGTTGAAAAATATACGTGAGATCCTCGGATAATTGAGATCGTACATGAACATTAGAATGAACAATCTCGTGAGCGAAAATGAAAGTGAAGAGGGGAGAGAGCACACGACAAAAGAAGTGCAATTCTATAGCTACCTACAGGTATCTACAGGCACATAAGCAAATGACATGCTCACGGAGCTCATACTCCGACTGCACCATCCCTTCTTTTTGCTTTGCTCTGCTACTGGTCCTTTTTTTATATCCGTCGGCCGATTTATGGTAGCCTTCGAATCTCGATTAAGAAGACCGCCATACGTCAAATGGATCGCATGCGTTAACCCATAGCGTGTGCCCTTATAATCTATAAGAAACAGCGTTAGGTCAGCTCCGACAGGGTCTAGTTTGAAGCGCGGGCCCATCAAGCAGGGTTTTTTCGGGGTACGGAAAATGTGCTAAGAAACAGGTTCTCTCCTTGTTGGCTGTTTCAGAGACATCGCCGCCACACACAAAAGGTTCGTCTCCGGTGGCCCCGACACCTGTGCCAGAGCAATTTAAGATCTGAGACAGTCTAGTACAAAAAGAAGCAGCGCCATAAACGAGTGTACATACCCCTGAGTAAAGACTAAAGCCCAAAATCCTCCGACCAGGACACACGCGTAGGCTACGTATGATATGTTTGGTCAACCAACACCGACCGCGAAAAAAAAAAATCTATCCCTGGGAATGACTTTTGCTTTATTCTTTCATCAAGTCAACTGGAGGCATTTACTTGAACTCCCTTTCGTCGCTCCATCTCCACATCTTTGGATCCTTGGCCAGGACGCGGTCTACGTGTCTTAATCTCGTCCGACAGCGCGAAGGGTGGCCATGAGCTCTACAAATTCGTCGTAGTCGAGTGCACCATCGCCGTCTGTATCAAAGTTCTTGATCACAAAGTCCAGCTCCTCATTCGTCACAGCCTCGCCCAGGGACTTGGTGAGTTCGTAGAGCTCCGTTCTGTCGACGCGGCCGTCGTTGTTCTTGTCATAGCTCGTGAACAGCTCCTTGAACTGCGCCAACTCGTCTGCTGTGAAGGGCTTGTTCTGTAGTGAGTCCTGTGGAGAAGAGAAAAGAAAAAAAAGGGAGCATTGAGTCAAACACGTACAATAGATTGGCGATCGGCTACAGGATAGGGTAGGCTAGTTCGTGGAAGTGGCAAGCGGAAGTCGTGACTGCATCGCAGAAAGCACTTACCATTGGGGATGTGTTATGTGTGAAAAGGTGAAGAGGTTGGATTTGGCTGTTTCTCGGAAAACGACACGCCTTTTATACCCAACGTGCGCTGCACAAAACAGGTGAAGACGAAGGCATGAATGCATTTTGGTCCTTTGGTGTGGCAGATGACCAGTGGCAACTTGTTATCCAAGCGTAACTTTGTGAACCCCAACACAGCCCAGGAAGTACATTCTAGTTTGTCATCAACAACATCATTGTCGTCTCTAGCACCCGCTTCACTCCTCACCAGTACTTTTCTTCTAAAGTGACCATGGCATCAGCTGGTCTACGAATACAGTAAGCACCTCTTTCTTCATCCCGGATACAATAGGTGAAGACAAGTGAACTCTAACGAGACCTATAATCGAATCAAAGTTCCGTGCACGGTCTTTGTTGACTATGATATCCTTCGTTTTGTTTGTTACACCTTCCAAGTGAGCTTCATGGATCGGGATTCCTTCCCTCAAGTCCCGACAATAATATCGGCCGTACCATGCTAGAGCCAACATGGAAGCTAGCGCGGATATGATATCGCGTTGTACTTTCTAGATTCCAATGATCCCTATCCATCGCCCGTGATAAAGTCGAGCAAGCCTATTGTAGTGGGTTTATCTATTTGACAGTCCCTTCCATATTTGGTATTCCAGCGCCACTATTTGGCTATTTGGCAACCCGAAGCTCTGAACCCAGCCACCTCGTCTGTGCAATTCTTGCTGACGAGGGGCTGGGACAAAATCTCCCCCTCTACTATGGGGAAGAATATAATCTCACGGGGGGTGAGATCTTATTCTCACACCCCCCGTGAGATTATCTCTTATTTTGTCATCTCACAGGGGTGTGAGACGGTTATTCTCACACCCCTGTAAGAATAATTCGAGCATTTTTTTTTTCACGGGGGGTGAGCGCCTTATTCTCACGGGGATATATATATATATTTTTATTACTAGGACCCCTATTGCTAGAGACGTAAAGCTTTTGCTGCCAGGTCCCTTTCACAATCCTCGTCAGCATGAGTGGTGACTCGAAGAGCTCTGCTCCCTACTTGGCCTGTTGTGTACGAAGGTCATCCTTTAGCCGGTGTCTATTGCCATCAAAAACTTGCATCCACCTAGTCGTTCCATCAGAGCCAGCTCCAGCTGTTGGCAATAGCCCTGTACTAGGCGCTTGTCCGCCTCTGCCTAGATCGCTTCCACGTCTGTTGCGGGTCGCTGTCTATGGGTTGATCCCATGAAATCACCCCTACTACGGTTGTATCCTCCAGCACAAGTGCGTCCTCTGGTGCGTTTGCTCACAGAAGTTATTCCACGCTCTCGCTCTCAGTCCAGTGATTTTGCAACGTCTGTTCCAGATCTCAGTCCATCCTAGCTCCTCGATGGCCCCGACAAAGCGCGCGACCATGTACCTTGCGACTGCCTTTGGCGTCTTAAACTCTTCTGTCCATTCCGTAGTAAAGTCCTTTGGCACCAGCCCGTGGTACAAATCTTGAACGGTCCAACTTGCTTCATTGCTGTGCCTGCTTTCGTCTGCCTCGTCGAGGTGTTCGTCCGCGTATCGGATGGTCGTCACTCCTTTGACCTTGCTCTCAAACATCCTCCAGATGGTCGTCTCTGCCAGTGCGGTGAACTGCGGTCCTTTCTTCGTGCTTGACTGCTGTCCTCGGCCCTCCTCGCTCTTTTGCTTCGCCTCCCATTGCTTTCTCTCCTTTGCCCAAGCGCGTTGTCCATTTTCGTTCACTTCTTTCACCGCCTTGTTCCATCATTCCAACTGTTCGCCGCTAGAGGTCGCGCATATCCATATGTGCTCAATGTCCTTGATCTCCAGCTCACACATCCTGCAAATGTCGGTGTCATACAGATCTGGCCGCCAGTTCCTCATGTATGACAGTGTCGGGAGCATGCCATGAATTTTTTTTGTTCGATGTGCACGTTTTTGACAGTCTGCATGGCTGGTGAAGGGACTCCTTGGTGTCCACCCGTCGTGAACAATTCTCAAGGTCGCCTTCCAATGAACTGTTTGCCAGTTTGGAATATATGTTGCTGTCCTATTCTGCCTGGTCCACACCGTGTTGTTCCGGATTACCGACTGTTGCTTCAGCACTCGTCGCATGTCATCCTCCATAATGGTGTCATTGATCTTTGCGTGGCACAAAAGGTTGTTGTGCTCATCTTCCTTGAGACTCCATAGCTCCGATAAATGGCCTTCCTTCGCTGCTTTGTCTGAAGCCTCATTGCCGCTGTCACCAGCGTGTCCTTTGATCCAAACGACTTTGACACTGCTGCCCTGCTGGACGAATGCATGGTGGACTGCCGCCCACCAGATCACGTACGGTGATCTTACGCGTTGTCGTTCTGTGCATCGGTTCCGTTCTTCCACTAACACTTTGAACTGCGAAACTACTGCCGAGTTGTCGATGTAAACTGTCGTTGGGGTATTCTCATAGTCTGTAGAGCCTCGTTTGAAAAATAAAATAAAATAAAATAAAATAAAATAAAATAAAATAAAATAAAATAAAATAAAATAAAATAAAATAAAAAGCACTCGTTTATTTTTCAAAGTCTGTTTCAGGACGGAATTCTTTGGATGGTCGCGACATCTCGCTGCTGCTCTTGATGGGTTTGGCTCTTGGACGCCCCTTCGGCTTCACTACAAGTGGGTCTTTGGTGACACTAAGACCTGCTTCGTTGTCAGACGCGTCCTGTAGCTCCATGAGCCCCTGTCTCCGTTTCAGCGAGATTGAGAGGTTGTTGAGCGTTTGCATCGCTTCATCATGAATTGCTGGATCAGTTGTCCCCATGATGGCCAGCTCCCTCGCTATCCCTGCAACATCTGCGTACCGCTTCTTCCTCAGTCGCTCTTCCTTCCTTGGCTGTGATGCCGAGGATTCTGTAGAGAACAAGGTGTGCACACTCCTCGTACGAGTGA